TTTCAGCCCACGAGTTCCTAGACATTTTCAGAGAGTTCATGAAGCTCAGGGTTGATTTTCTCCTGCTGCACGTATTACCGGATGTTTTCGGACAGGGACAGGACGAAATTGGTGACTTTGCAAAAGGTACTGTGAGATACGAAGTGTATTTACACATTAAAGGGTCGCGGCATTTGAAAGGTTGAGAGCCATTGGGCTAATGAGAAAGTTAAGCGTGCCATGAGGAGAGGGACCTTCTCTGAAGAAACTGCTAATCGATGATGTTATGTAATACCCTGATGTCGACGTATGTTTGTGAACAAAGCTGTATTCCTCCCGTCCGTCGTTTTCACAACATATTTGTCACCATGGAACCGACATACAAAACAAGCGAGTAATTAAGGTCAATTGTGTAGCAGACGGAATGATGACTACAGGGAAATAAGACCCCTTCCCCCCCCCCCCCCCCCCCCCCTCCCCCCCCCCCCCCCCCCCCCCCATCCCCTCCCCGAATGTAACATTAAAGTAAATTGGACAATCCCTAAACAAGTTGATATGTTCAAGTATTGGGGTACCCTGATAACATCAGAAGATGTGTTAAAGAAGGTTAATGTAGAATAGGCAGCATTTCAAAAAATGAAGAAGATTCTATACAATTTTCCTTTCTTAATTGAGACGAGAAAGAGAAATCTTAAGAACTTGTGCATTCTATTGTGGTACAGTGGGGCACGGACAGTTGGAGCATTAGTGAAAAATGATATGAACGAGAGAGAGATGTGGGTTTATGGACAGATAAAATAAATAGAAACGACGATGTTTTGAAAGAAACTGACTCACGAAGAGAACTGACTGCCAACAACATAGGAGGAAAATCTACGTGTTTGGTCATGGCATGAGAAGGAGAAAAGTGGAGTACATCGTGGTGGCGGGAAGTTGGAGGGGAAAAGAGGGGAAAAGGGAGACCGAGAGAAACAAGATTTTAGGAAGTTGGAGGGGACAAGAGAGGAAGAGGGAGACCGAAAGAAACAAAAGATTCCGGCCAGTTCCACATTATGGCATTCGGATCTTTTTAAAAGCATACGAGATAAAACTTTGTAGGCAGACAACAAATCCAATGGTTTGGCCATGTAACAAGAATGGCACCAGACAGGGCACCACAGTGAGCAATGTTATACAAACAGAACGGCAACAGGGCATGAGGTCAACCACGCATAATATGGGCCGCAGAAACATCAGAGATACTGAAAAGTACTTTATACAAAGAAAACAAAAGACCCCGTTCCAGATATCTTTTCCTATTCGGACGTCACAAGCATTCCAGGATTAGTGAAAAGAAGAAGAAGAAGAGACAGAAAGCAATGGATAGATATAACTACCAACGCTATCATGTATGGAAGATCATCTGTGTCAGAAATGACTGGAAGTACACTTGGAAGAAGCTTGTGGATAGACACGACTGCAAATGCCACACGACATGCGCCATACGGAGAAGAAATGGACAGTGTAGCTTGAACAGTTAGGAGGTAGCTCTGTGTGTCTGTTCTATGCAAACAAAGGGGCTGATGCAGGTGTTTAACTGGCGGCGGAGCAGTTAACAGCTTGGTTGAAACTTTAAACATCAAACGCTGATGACACAAATGAGCAGACAGGACGACAGGTAGCCGACAGACAGGCATACAAACAGACATGAAGACAGATAGACAAATAGACAAAGACAGAGAGTAACAAAAGACAGCAAAGACATAACCAATATGGTAACTTTACAGAATAAATGACACGATGAACAGTCAAAGGACGTTGCGGCGATTAGCCTTCATCAGCAGAACAAGGACAAAAAACCAAACACAACATAAAAACGAACTGCCTGTAATAAAAATACACCCACAGTGTTCAGATATTTTGTAAAACAAATATAACTTAAACGGATAACGAAAATGAAGAAACAATAGGTAGGGTAACTAATTTTATAATATGAAGATGCTAAAGATTAGACGGACACACCTCTCGTGTGATAACGGGGTCCCGTTGGGGAGGGGAGGGGGGGGGGGCATGAGGAGAATAGACTCATACCCTATTAGCAAGCATTTTGAAGGCAACTTATTGGGGATGTTTGTTTTGGAACCGAGAGTGCATCTGAGAGGCGAGGGAGCATAAATGTGCGCACAACACTCAAGTTCCGGAACAAAGAGATGTGACTTATTTGTGAGCGAACTGTTGGTTTCCTCGCGACTCAGACATATAAACCTATAGATCTGTAAAACGGATTTGCATTCAAAATTCAAGTTCTAGCAAAATATGAAAGTCCAGAAGTGGACAAATTAAACACAACTTTATTAAAGGGTATTGATAGTGCACGTAATAGAACATTGTGGGCAATAATTGTGACAAAAGGCACAGAGCCATCTTAACAGTATTTAGGGCCCCTGGGCAAACAGTTGCACTGGGGCCCCTATGACAACCACTCCCAGGAATGAAATGTAAATGGTCGATACTATGGGGTCCCTATTCTAGTGGGGCCCCCGAACAAGTACTCAGGAGGCCCTTGCGTTAAGACAACCCTGCCCACAGATGTACTTTGAGAAACAGAATGGGAACGGCAGAGAATGACGAGGCCGTTCAAGAATGTTGTTGAGTGTTCGACGTTTTGACAACGATATGCTACCCGAGGGCGATGAGTGTGACAGAAATGACGTCAGAACTCTAAACACACGAAACAGGACACAATAATGTGCCGTGTCCCGATTTGAAAAACATTTTTTTTTTTTTAAAATCTACCCAGTTTTATTTATACATTTCTTAATATGGAGGATATTTCAAACAAACCGACCAGTAAAAACGGAAAAATAATCGCAATACTATGAGACAGAAAGCGATGGTCTAGCTCAACAAGTGTTGCAGTTTGTTTTGGATTCCGAGAGAATTAGCGGGTAATTGACTGCCCTTTGAGAAATCCCAAAGACGGTTGGCAGTGTTGATACAAGACCTTCTGTCGTTAACATCTGCGTTGTTGGAATCCCCCAAACACCCCCACAATAATGACAATGTTAATGTTTGCTTGTTTCAAAGTGATCTGAAATATTTCCTTTTTAAAAAGAAAGTGCCTTTCTTTCTTATGTCTGCTAACCATTAGGCTACTTGATATTTTAAAAATTCATTTTGTTGACTTAATGGCGCAATACCTTATGCCAGTGATTCCCAAACTCTGCGCTGCGGCGTCACGTAGGGCCGCGACCTCTTCATAGGGGCGCCGCGAAATATTTGAAGATATTGATTTTTTTTTTTTGGGGGGGGGGGGGGGGGGGGGGTATTTTTACAATGGTCTTCGCATTCACACACCACCAGTTGTAGGTCAACTCCATTAATAAATTGGTTCGACTAGTCTACCGTGGTCGAGGTTATGGGTGTCGTAGTCTGTTGTTGTCTGGCATTTGCTTTTTATTTCCGAGAAAGAGACGGCCTGTGACATAGGTTAAGTCACTCTCTAATGGGGTGGAGAGGGGGGGGGGGGGGGGGGTTGTGTAAGACCCAGTATCTAAATGTTTAAAAAGTGTTAAAAGCTCTGGCATGGTGAAATATACAGCACGCGGTATCAGTGCGAGTGCGGAATATTCCCGTGACCTTGTATGAAAGTCGGATCACACGAGGCCGACCAATCAGCAGGGAGGTGGTCAGTAAATCGTCCAATCAGAAGTGAGCTAGTGTGTAGCGGTGTGTAAATGGGGACACACGCGTAAAAATAACTTTTTTTTTCTTTTAAAATCTCTTACATACGAAACAAAAGCGCCGCGACAAATAAAAGTTTAGCAAACACTGTCTTATGCTGTTAAATACCCTTACCCGTTTAGAACTGCAGAATGTACCAGTCATCTGCGATAGAATCTGGCGATCAGCCGACCAGAGCCGTCTTCAGAGCATTATAGGCCACTAGGCAAAGCAGTGTGCATAGAGGTTAAACGGGGTTTCTCGGACTAGCACCCGGGTGATCTCCACCCAAATGGTGGTACTTTGTGTGACCAGGTGTTAATCGATTGCTTGCGGTCCTGGTGGGGCCTGGTGTCCGCTTTGAGTACTGGAGTCCCGGGTTCGGGTTATGATTTTTTTTACGTAAACTTCTTGTAATTTCCTCTAGTCTCTGGGTAGTAAGATCGGACGCGTGTGTGTGTTGTTGCACACGTAAATGCTCCTTAGCAGCTGGAAATCGAAAGAGTAACCAAACTGCGCTGGCCGGGCAAAATTTGGAGTGAAAAATCTAACCAAAGTGCAAAGTGAGTACTCATGCTTGAGTTAGTTAGAAGTCGAACAGAACACTTATGGGTTACTACCCTTGTGCCATGATGTGGATTCGTTGTTTAAACCTGGGCTGTTGCCCGACTATCTAGCGTAGTTGGCTAAACCGGATTGCGCGGAGACCGGGTGACGAACTCCTTGTGGTCCGGGTTCAATCCCGGTGGTAGGCAGGAAAGCCACATTTCTCCCAGATTTACGGTATTTACAATGGAGTCAAGGCCGAAAGGTTGCGATATCCATAATACCGAGCCTAAGGGTTAACAACTCATGGCTTGTGGATACTAAAACAAAACAAAACCAAAACCTTGGCTGTCGGCAGTAACCTAGTTCAAACCCTAAACCTGAAGGGGCTGAACTTCATTCATTCAACAGTATCAACTTGTGTATTCTGTAGCCGTGCAATCAGCGGCAGGGCGCGGGTCAGACCTAGAGGCGTTAAACTTCATTCATTCAACTGTATCCACTTGTGTATTCTGTAGCCGTGCTATCAGCGACAGGGCGCGGGGCCGACCTAGCAGCGTTAAACTTTATTCATTCAACTGTATGCATTTGTGTATTCTGTAGCCGTGCAATCAGCGGCAGGGCGCGAGGCCGACCTAGCAGCGTTAAACTTCATTCATTCAACTGTATCCACTTGTGTATTCTGTAGCCGCGCTATCAGCGGCAGGGCGCGGGTCAGACCTAGAGGCGTTGAACTTCATTCATTCAACTGTATCCACTTGTGTATTCTGTAGCCGTGCTATCAGCGGCAGGGCGCGGGGCCGACCAAGAACTCTACATCCTGGCACCGTGTCAACCGGTCAACAAGAACTTCCCCCACCCGGGCAACTGCCATGGCTATCTGACGTGTGCAACCTGGGGGCTGTGGCCCATGGACTGTCCCTGGGTTCTCGTGTTTGACGAGAAAACTGGGAACTGCGAATGGCCATATCTGGTACCAAGATGCAGGGGTAGGTCATCATCGTCATCATCATCATTGACGTTACTTTCATCATCATTGTTATAATCATCATCATCATCATCATAATCTTCATCATCATCACCACAAATATCTACGCAAAGTATTTCAGGATCCTCGCCGGTGCAACGGAGATCATGCACTGCGCGGAGATACTTCACACCAAGACCACTGTCGAAAAAAGTTTATTTCTTGTTTGAGAACCGTTGCATTAACGCATCGTTAGCCTGACCAAGTGACGTCAGCAGCACTAAATCAGCAAAAAATGATTATGAAAAATGAATCTTTTCACTAAAAACACATCAGTCGCACTGCCAAGTTTTGCAGTGCATCTCTTTCCCGGAAGTTTAGGATCAATTGTGTGATAACTATGGTAAATTCGAATGTATCACGGGATCTTTCTGTAAACATAACACAACAGAGTTCAGTTTTATTGATACGGCTTTGGCCAGTTTTAGCAAATGTCTCTTCAATGTTTGGTGACTAACTCTGAAGGCACAATCCTGATTAATTACGTATCCAGAATCAAGCAAATGATGTCCGAAGAAATAAGTTCTCTCTTCTTAGCGGATCTTGTTGCAGGATCTCTACTCAGTTGTACGTGTAGTCATTTAGGGATATGTTCTGCCACTATGTTTTCAAGCTGTCTCTTCTTTCGTTCCACGCAAGTCAACTGTCACTTATATGTAGGGCTGTACCGAATATTCGCTTCGTATTCGCTTCGGGGCCAAATAGTGGACCTATTGACTATTCGGTATTCGGCCGAATAGTTGCGGTCGAGCCGAATACGAATAGTAGTTACCTTACACCCGCTTCTGCATACACGGCCTAAATGCTGATAACATGGAACGATTAGTTTTGTTGAAAGCTAATGCAGCTTTCATGCATTAACTAAGCTGTCAGTGACAATTTTCACATTTAGTTACTTGTTATAATACTAAGGATTCTTTCATTCATAGGTAATAGTTACCACAGACAGACTGAAGGATGCAAAACATAACATGTTTTTAAATGTTTACTATTCTGTACGAATACTAACCAGACATGGAAAGAATTTAAACTCCGGCCATATCCAAGTCGATAATATGAAAATCAAACGAACGGAAACATATAAGTACTTGGGTGCAAACTTCAACTGCTCCAACATGCTGAGAGAAGAAATACAATCTAGAAAACAATCTAGAAATAAAGTATACTATGCCCTTCAACATCTGCTAAAGTCAGAGTGTGTGCCTCGCAACACCAAGATCAAAATATATAAAACGTTAATAAGACCAGTCGTTTTATATGGCTCTGAAGCTTGAAGCAGAAATAAAAGAGATGGGGCCTTATTACAGGTCTTCAAAAACAGTCTTACGACAAATCTTTGGACCCATCAAAGATGCTAACAGCGGGGAAGGGAGAGTGAGAAGCAACAACGTAACACATAATCTGTTTAAATCACCATTGATCACTGGTATCATGAGAGCTAAGAGACTAAAATGGTTGGGGCCTATTGAAAGAATGTAAGATGACAGAGAAGTAAAAAGGGAGAGGAATGGTCGTATACCACGAGGCAGACAAAAAAGAATTTTAAGAGATAATGTCCAGCCAGACCTGCAAACAACTGGTGTCACAAACTGTGAAGAGAAGGCCAGCCAGAGAGATGAATGCAGCAGTAAACCTCAAGAGCTCAGAATACTAAAGAAGACGATGACTATTCTGTGCTACTTTATGTGAAGTAAAAGTTCAGCGTACATTTGACATTATGAATGTGTATGTTTTTTTTTTTTAAGATATATTTAATACACTATTCGTATTCGGCCGAATAGTTGGTCCCGTTATTCGTATTCGGCCGAATAGTGAAAATCACTATTCGGTACAGCCCTACTTATATGTAAATTGATTACCATTTCACCTTTCAACAGAGAACCCACCCATAACCGCATGCAACCCAAATCCTTGTGTCAACGGAACCTGTGCTCTAACCACTGACAGCAAACTGGGATATCAGTGTATATGTAACACTGGATTTATTGGACCATTGTGTTCTACAGGTAAGTAATTCTTTGGAAACCCTGTCATCTTGAACGTTTTTTTGTTGTTGTTGTTGTTTTCAAACCTGCAGAGTGAATGTTGAACGTTTTTGCAACAAGTTGTTGTTGTTGTTGTTGTTTTCAAACCTGCAGAGTGAATGTGGAGATCCACTATAGTCCGTTGCAAAAGTCCTGCCGAACTTTAAAAAGCTGATACTCAGTAATCGTTTGGCGTAAGTTGCTGAATTTTAGCATGTAGCCTGCTGACAAACATGTCATTGTAAGTAATTGTTCTGGATTAGGTTCACGTTAATCTCCACAAGTAGAGTAGGTCACTTTTTATTCAAAAGTTTGTTGGGCTGGTCGACTTTCCTGATGGTTACGTGTGTGTACCGCTCTGCTGTTAGCTTTCTGTTATGTCTAGCATTTACGTTTTCATTCAGAAAAAAAAAAATGCATGTGACACAGGTTGCAGCATTCTCTAGGGGTGTTGTGTTCCGGCCAGTTTCTCAATGTTTTTTTGAGTGTTAAAAGCGCTAGCGCGCTGAGATATACAACACGCGATATCAACGGCATTGCAAAACACCACAGTAACCTTGTGCCAAGGTGACAGGCTCAGGAACTACCAATCAGAAATGAGCTAGTGTGTATATGAACGGGGCGTATGGAGATCAGCGTTACTTTTACCTTTTTCTGTTTGAATGAAAAAAAATTAGTTTTCATTGTGACTTTTTTATATATATAATATAAAACAGACATTGGTGAAAAAGCAAACAGTTGGCATGCTTACAGTAACTTGAGGGAACTGAGTAACAGGAACTTTTCAAAATATCACACTGCACATCGGAGGCATTTCACTCTCACTTGGTTACCTCTAGCGTAAATCTGACGTAAGTTGCGGAGTTTTCGGTGAGTGGGGAATAGGCTATCAAAATAATCGTAACGCGTTTGCTGCACATGTCAACTGATTTCCAAGCTCTACACGTTACTGTATATTCTATTTTTCAGGGGTACATCAATTATTAGCCAAACAAAGATCTTCCTATTCCTCTTTTTCCACTTCTCTTTCCCACTGTTACGAAGTACTCCAGTTTTGTCCACTTGATGAAGTCACCAAAGAATGGAAGTTGGCATCTCTAGGAAAGATAAAATCCATAGTGCCATCTTAAACCATAAAGAAAGATAGGTTTACATTTTGAGAACATCCCATAAGTTATTGATGGAGCATTAGCTGTTTGTTTGTTTTCATTTCATACCTGGTATGTTACTAGATGGGATTATTTTGACATTACCATGCTGTTACTCAAAACATTTAATAATACAAGACAAGTAGGAACAGGCAGGCAGACAGACTGACAAGTAGACAGACAGTCAATGCTTGTCTACTCTGATGCTTCTCATTCTCAGATGTTTAAAGAAAAACAACAACCTAGGAGTAGTTGTTTCATCCTCGATAAGGAATGAAGAATGTTGAATTAGGAACCTGCCTCACAGCACTCAGTACATTCTCATAAGCGCTCCGTCTCCATCTTCAGCAGCAAGCACAGAGTTTACCTCCTATGATAGGAGTAACTGTGATAGAGAACGATTGTCTACTGTAACATGCACGAGAGTTAAAGTATTAAATATCAGTCAAGACAGGGGAAAACAGACATGCAAAAACAGACACACAAACAGGCAGACATTGATATTCTACTCTCAAATGTGCGATGCCTTTCATCCACAGATATTGACGAGTGCGCCTCTATACCCAGCCTATGCTCCAGAGGGAACTGCATTAACCTCCCAGGAAAATATCACTGTGATTGTGGAAACAGTGGCTATACCGGGCAGTTTTGCGAGATACGTGAGTCTGTCTGTCTGTCTGTCTGTTCGGAAATCTGTGTGTCCCTGTGACTCCATATTTGATGGATTCCCCCCCCCCCCCTAAATAACAAACAAGTCACACATAAGAGGTGCATAATAAAAGATTGTTGAAATCCGGCCCATTACCCGAAAGGCTAAGATATCGCAGCGTAAATATGAAAACATAATTGTGGTCGACGTTTCGTGCAGGAGAGCCTAGCATATGATACCACAACATCCAGCTTAAGAATGGAGGTGGAGGCGGTCACTGAAGCTTTTCCCTGGTTGGAGAACACTAAACACATACTCATCGTGATTGTAACTCACTCAGAAAGCATGCTGATGAGGGTGAGAACAGGTGTGATTCGGCAGAACGACATGCTTCGCTTCGGAGATTATGGGGGAAGATCATTGTCTGGATTTTTTCCCCAGGTCATGCCCGTATGTTGTATGTTGGGAAATGAACAAACTGTTTGGCTTAAAAAAAAAAAAAAACTTAGTTGAGTACTGATACATAAAAAAGCAGACGTGGACAAAGCCTTATGAGAGCATTGTACTATTCGGATCAGCAAACTGATCATCAGAGTCTGGTGAGAGTGATGTAGTGGGAAGGGACGAGAGAATCCTTGCCGATACTTGGCGTTCAGAGAAAAGGGAAGACGAACGTTTAGTCAGACCGCGTCTGGCACCATTGGTATTGGAACTCTGCGCTGGCTGCTGAATATGGTGACGGAGCTCTTGTGGGAATGCTCTGAGAAGTCTAATTAAGAATTTACTTAAATCCGGTGTATTTAGTTGAAAGAAATAGATATTGCAGGTTAGTTGTAAACCTTATGCAACGTGCCAAACATACCTTTTTTAGGGTGGCTGCAAAGAATACTTAAGTACCCTTAAGTGTATTTGACACATAGTGGTAGACCTACATTTAAAGACTAATTGGCACTCTGTGGCATTACGCTGTTCGCCTTTACTTCCCAGGACTTGCAGGAAAAAGCCAATTACCTGGCACCCCTTTTAGACTTGGTTGACCTTTTAGCCATGGGCAGTGTTGGGGGGGGGGGGGGGAGGGTTCCAGGTCTCGATGCATATTTGTTGAACGTGAAACAAAAGCGCACTTGACCAATCACGTCAAATGGTACATTTGCATCAACGGTTGCATCAAGCAAATTCTAGTACGCTCCCAATTACTTCTTTTTTTTTTTTTTTTAGAAAGGTTTAACACAATGCCAGAATTCAAAATATTGATCCAACATTTCTAAAACGTACCAGAACACCAAACATATAGTCAATAATACAAAATTTGTACGAAAGTACCAACTTCGTCAGCCTTGCATCAGAGTTCTCACCGAAAAGAATAAACACGAAGAACAACATAAACACTCGAATAAATTATTTTACAGCACCCGATGAGAAGCCATGTATAAACGGACAGCCGTGTATCAATGGGAAATGCCAGTTGGGTCCCAACAACAATTTCTGTGTCTGCTCCAGTGGGTACGAGGGACCGTTATGCGACAGCGGTGAGACATTTTTAAAGTTATTATTTTTTTAATGTTATCTTTACCAGGTTGATATAATTTAGTCTATAGTCTTAATCACTTATTCTGGGCCCTGCCCCGCTCCATTTACACACTACGCAATTTTTTATTTATACTTGATCAGCCCAGTCCACTTCTGCAAAGGTTAGAGGGGTGTCGCCATGGCTGTGTCCGATGGGTGGCATTTTATGACACATATTTACGACCCCGTGACATCAAGAACTCTCTCTCTCGTGACGCGATGTCTATACTACAAAAAGTTATCTATTTTAACGACCCCATAAAATCTGCAACTAGGCCTTACCACGGCCAGCTCCAGATTTATATGCAGCCGGACGTGGCTTAACCCAAATTCCATTCGCAAAAAACTGAACCTAAGTCCCACGAGACAGTGCATTCTACCTGTCGCTGCAGACACAAAACTCTACCCTCTGCAATACTCTCATTTCCTTAGCAAAATCCTAGACGGCTGTCATGTAGCCACCAACAACCACTAATAATTTATATTAAGTCGCTCAGAAAAGCCACTGTGTACCTCTTCGCACTCTAATTTCTACACAAGACAGACAACTGACACCACTATCCCTTAGACCTGATCGTGTGACAGTATAAGACGCAGTCTGACCGTCCAATCACAGTGACCTGTCCTGCCCTCGTCATTCATAAGTGTGTATATGGAAAAGGGGGGGGGGGGGGGGAGCTAGAGCCCGGAAAATTGAGTAGTTCCTAGTCTATTCGCTCCTAGACATTGTTTACTTTAACTAGAGTATGTTTCAAAACTAATGCCGGCATACATTAACGAATATCTTGGAAACTCATGCACATATGAACATAATTTTTGCATGCTGGTTCAATCCTTATGATTCTATCATTTATATTTGCTCAGATCCTGCAGTTTTCTTACAACGGTGAATTTGTAAGCATATTTACAGTTATAAGTAAATTACATCTAGGTTTGATGATTTATTAATATCCTACCCCAAACAGTGGAAATTCACAGGTCACGGGACAGTCTAATATTTCAGAGGGTGGTAGATAGGCTGCATGCAGTCGTGTGACCTAGGCTGCATGCAGTCGTGGTGCTAGACTGCACTCTCTCGTGGGACACAGGAGACCAAAGTACAGAAGTGGACGAATAACCGGAACTTTCCGCCAGAGTTTACAGACGTTGAACACAGAGAAGAAGAAGAAGAAGAAGAAGAAGAAGAAGAAGAAGAAGAAGAAGAAGAAGAAGAAGAAGAAGAAGAAGAAGAAGAAGAAGAAGAAGAAGAAGAAGAAGAAGAAGAAGAAGAAGAAGAAGAAGAAGAAGAAGAAGAAGAAGAAGAAGAAGAAGAAAGAAGAAGAAGAAGAAGAAGAAGAAGAAGAAGAAGAAGAAGAAGAAGAAGAAGAAGAAGAAGAAGAAGAAGAAGAAGAAGAAGAAGAAGAAGAAGAAGAAGAAGAAGAAGAAGAAGAAGAAGAAGAAGAAGAAGAAGAAGAAGAAGAAGAAGAAGAAGAAGAAGAAAAGAAGAAGAAGAAGAAGAAAGAAGAAGAAGAAGAAGAAGAAGAAGAAGAAGAAGAAGAAGAAGAAGAAGAAGAAGAAGAAGAAAAAGAAGAAGAAGAAGAAGAAGAAGAAGAAGAAGAAGAAGAAGAAGAAGAAGA